TCCCCCGGCCCCCTCCCCCCTTCCCTTCGTTACCGGACCGGACTCCCTATGACCAGCTACACACGTGATCATTAGAGGGGAAGGAGGCAGATCACTTTTACCTGCTATCTGCGACACAAAGGCATCGGTAACCAGAGACATGACGGTCTGGAATTCCTCCGTTCCACATGCAAGGTTAAGGTCACAAAAACAGGAAGTCTATATACGGGCGACAGACCGACCGGGGACTACTTCCGTTAGTATTCATGGTAACGGGAACGCAAGCAGAGAAGGTTGTGCCTCATGTCAATGAAGATTGTTGAGGGGAAAAAAAAAAGTATTTGGAATCCTGGGAGGAGCAGCTCTTTCCAACTCTGAGGTTTGAGAGTCACGTGATGGGGAACGTGTACGCAGGGAGAGCGAAGCTGCCATGTTTGTTTGTGGCAAAAAGATGTTTGAAATATACAGGTGAAACTCGAATAATTAGAATATCGTGCAAAGTTCATTTATTTCACTAATGCAACTTAAAAGGTGAAACTAATATATGAGAGACTCATTACATGCAAAGCAAGATAGTTCAAGCCGTGATTTGTCATAATTGGGATGATTATGGCTTACAGCTCATGAAAACCCCAAGAACCCCAAATCCACAACCTCAAAAAAGTAGATTATTACATGCAATCAATAAAACAAGGATTGTACATAGAACAATATCGGACCTCTGAAAAGTACAAGCATGCCTATGTACTCAGTACTTGGTTTGGGCCCCTTTTGCAGCACTTACTGCAATTACTTTTGCACGATATTCTAATTATTCGAGTTTCACCTGTAACTGTAGAATGTGGCAAATGTGACAACAATTACCTGGAACAATAGAATGATGAAATGTGGTATTACAGTACAAATTACAGTGGCTGTTCTTGAGAATTTTTTAAACATTCTATTTGTTTATGTTGCTGATGAGGGAGTGGTAATCTTTGGGGGGTGGAAGGTTTTAGTTTGCAACAGACGCATGAGGGGTGGGTAACAAAGCCTGACACACAATGAAAAATGCGCCATCCCAACCCCACCACACAGTCTGCTTGGGGGCCTATTGTGCAGACAGAGGACTTCAGTGTGGGATGTAAACAAACACATTGTTCCATACTATGGAGTAATAAAGCTTTGACTAATTTATACCAGCTTGCCATCTTCCAGGCATAAAAAAAAGGCTTCTATTGATATGATAGACTTTCCTTACAGAGATGGAAGTTTTTAAATCTTTTCAATAGCTCCGAGTGGAATTCAAGCTTAATAAGTCTTGCTATCAATACCTGCAGATGTTTACCTTTTTTTAAATTTCTTTGTGTGGCCCTGTCCCCATTACCATTGTTGCTTAGACAAGAATTCTGTATGTACGTTATAATTAATCGATTAAAAAAAATTTCGATTAATCGAACATGAAAATTTTAATCAGTAACAGCCCTAGTAGAAATAAAAAAAATTATTTTAACCCCACCCCTGTGCGCATACTAACGTAAACATGTGTTGGCTGTGTCTACGTAGGAAAACAACAATCGCGATACACATGTTAGGTATCACTGTGTCCCCCAGAGTGAGAACAATAATTCTAGGGCCAAGGGCGTACGGCATGGTTAATTCTAACCTGATGACCTGTAGGCGCTTTTAAAGCATTGCCTACAGACAATTTGGGGTACCGTATTTTGTTGCTGTTTCACGCAATTTTTAAGCTTGCCATGTTCTCGGCACAACCTCGTCTTTTATATTTTACAAAAAAATGGGTATTATATTGTGTTTTTCTGCACTAAAATTAACAAGTGTAATTTTTACTGAAATTTGGGGTTTGATAAAAGGAGTTGCGCTAACATAATGCAGTGTAAAAATTTGCAACCGACACCATTTTAAACGTCAGGGTCTGTGCTTTCAGGAAATATAACCAGAGTTAGCAGACACATGCTAATGCAGCTAAATGTGGCTTGAGTATCTAGGCATCAATGACTGCTAGCCTAAAAAATGTTAAGGATATGCATGCAGATGGGTAAAAATAAAGAAATACATAAAACAATATCCAAAATGTATTATTTACACAGAGTATGATGGCAGAACATGATACATGATTACCTAGGAAGACGATGTGGGCAGACATATTGATCTTCACTATTGGAACAACATTGTTTTGAAAACATCTAAAGCAACCATTGGACAAATATTCCTAAAAGCTTTTTTTTTTGTGCTGGTACTTGACCCACAAAACAATACATCATGTCTGTCTGTCTGTCCCTTCAAAATTATTTTGTGGCTGCCTGGAGTTTAGTTTATTTGTTAGGTTAGTGTAAGGCTTAGCGCTTTGGCTAGGGCTACACTGGTGAATTTACTCTCTTGCTACTTGGAGATTTAACTATTTTCTGTCAGTCAGCTTAAAGTGGAACTAAACCTACTAATTGTGGCTTATTCGTTATATTCAAGGCACTAGAGCTGCAGCTAACGATTATTTTCAAAATCGATTAGTTAGCCGATTATTAAGTTCGATTAATCGGATAAAAAATAAAATACCTTTTAAAAATGGCTCCAGTGACGGACTACTAGTTTGTATTGAGATTGCAGCCCATCACAAGAGCAAGCTTGGAGCGGTGGAAGTAAAAAAGAAAAAAAAAAAGTGTGGTGTGCAATATAGTGAAATGAAAAGTGTAAAATTATACAGCAATGATGAAGAATGGCACCGGCTATAGAGGACTCCAAAACCCAGCAATAGTACATTATAGCTGGTGGTATTCTGCATTGTGCTGTATAAACTCTAGTGATAACTGGTACAGTTGTCAGTGTGCTTATATCATCCAAGCTGAACTTTCCAGCCTTCAAATACCTGATCACATGTGTGGGATCATGGCAACTGCAGATCTAGAAAAATATATATCAAAGCGCTAAAGGTGTAACTAATATGAAACTTAGTATAACCAAGTGATATAGTGAAATTTTAGGTTTAGGCGGTCTAGCCCTAAAACAAGTGATATGTCTTACATAGAATCATAAAAGAAATATATATAAAATAAAAATAAAATTAATAGTACAACAGTGCTGTGGAAAAACAGAAAATGATTGGGACAATAAAAAATTTCAACCACTGTGTAGATGCAGATCTAGAGGCCAAAATGGCACTATTTTTACCTGTAAAGGATAGGAGGGCTTAGTTACATTTTAATAGGCTAGAGCATAGCAAGGACAAACAAATGACTTTGTGCTCCAGACAGTTGATCAGGAGACAAGATTACTTTGTGCCCTGTACCAAAAAGCTGTCTAGGACTTCTCCCCAGCTCTTCAGGCTGACATCTGTTGAGATGGTCTTCTAAAACAGCAGGAGGAAGGATTTCCCCAACTCCAGAGCTGGATTCCTGAGCAACCAGGCCAAAGATAACCTGGTCTTCAGTTTCAGGTGAGTCGGTTTGTCTAGAGACTAGAATAATTAGCCCCCCAACAACAGAATGTTGAATTTTTTGGATCTGGAGTGAAACTGAGCTAATGGCATTGCCTTGAAGGAGGCTACTATCCAGCCCAGAACTCTAAAGCAAAATTACAGAGCTGGATGATCCCTGGACTGTAAAATTTGAGACTGGGAGCAGAGAGTTAGACATTTTTCACGGACGAAAGTTTCAAGAAACAAAACTCAGACTTGAGATGTGTCTAGGATGAGACCTAGACCCAGACACTTAAAGTGTAAGTTCACTTTCCCAGGTAATATGGGAAAATGGAATTACCCGATCAAATCTGGCCCTCTAATCTTCACCCTCCGCCAGTACGGGTGTACCATACTGCTGTATAGCCCTATGCATTTTGAATTTCGCTCGCAAATTGCGAGCACTCATTGGTCACTGAGGTCAGGTGACCACGCTGACCAATGAGAGGTGCTATTTAGCACAGTCAAATACGGTTTTGATTAGGGATGCACCGATACCGAGTATTTGGGCGAGTACCTGTACTCGCCCCAAATGCTCCAATACCTTCCCCGATACCGAAACGTCCGGTCAGAGGAAGATTTCCTCTGACCAGCAGTGTCGTAGGGCAGGGGAAGCCAGCTCCTTGCTGATTGGCTGGTAAGCCAGCTTCCCGGCCAATCTGGAAGCCGGTTTAATGCTGATTGACTGGGAAACCGGTTTCCTGGCCAATCACAATCAAGCTGGCCAAACAACATGGAGCCGGCTTCCCTGGCAGTCGGGAAGCTGGGTGGCATGTCATTACCCGCTGCCCGGCTTCCTGATTGCCCGGGCAGCCAGCTTCACGCCTGCGGAAGCACCGGTATTGGTACTCGGTATCGGTGAGTACCGAAAGCAAAATATCGGTGCTCATATTAGATACCAAAAAAACGGTATTGGTGCATCCCTAGTTTTGATTAAAACTATTTTTTTTTTGTATTGGGATAAGTAGATTGTCATGAGAGACAAGTAGATTCGCCCCCCGCCTTTAGCCGTTGGACAAGTCGTTTTTTTTGTTTTTTTTATTTCCACACCCTTGCTCCACTCCTTAACTTGAATCAAGGGGTTCATCTTCCTGCTGGGAAATCCCGGTATTTTGTATTATTCCCGTTATGACGCTACGCATCCGCGTCATTAAGTTACTTCAAGTCTCATCTGCCACCACAGTAGAGGGACTCAGCAGAAAAGTGCCGGCAGCAGGGCAGTGACACCACAGCAATTGTAGTCTAAGCACACTTCCTCCAGCACATTACCAGCAGGTTCTTACCTCCATATGAACCTGGGGCTGGGGATAAATGCTGCAAGAGCAAGATCGCAGGTTCAATGCTCTGTGGGCTTCAAAAAAAGTAGTAAATGCACATTGATCATAAGATCAGGGTTACTGCATTTACTGCCTTTTTGGAAAAGGTTGACTAATATTTTAAAATCACTAGTGTACCCCTAGCTTTAGAGGATAAGTGTGCAGGGGAGGTTAGTTATTCACTGATTACTTTAGGGGTTAAGTGCTAATGTAAGAAGAAATAAGGGACATGTTAAGTGTTTAAGGGACTGACTCTTTTTAAGAGTCAACGTTTACTACTTAACCTCAGCCACAACTTCTTTTCCTTTTAGAGTTTATGAAACGCAGAAGGATTCAAAACCGTGTCAGGTTTTGATAGTTCTCTCTGACCCAACTCTGGAGATTTCCCCCTCGCTTTTTATTCATTGTGGGGCAAAGATAAAGGGTCACCTAAAACTAAAACTTGTTTTTATTTTGTTTAAGCTTTTTTGCCATCTGTGTCCCATTAGGGAGATTTCCCGTTACTTTCTCCAATAGCCACAACAGGAAGTGAGGAAAATCTCTGGTCAGCAGGGTCACCACAACTAGTGTCCCCACTGGAAAATTTCCCAGCTATTCCTGCTCTGGGATTTTCTTTCACTTTCAGAGATAACAGTCACCAGGCCAAACAGAGAGGGTGAATCTCCCTTACAGGGTCACAGACAGCAAACCTGACAGCCTTCTATGCAGAGACTCCCACTTCAAATATTCAAAAGGTCATTTATTCTTGTTTTAAAGCTCTTTTAGGGCCTGTTTACACTGTGCCATTGTGTCACCATGCGGTTTACTGCAACACATGTCACATGTGTTTGTGCAATGCAATGCAATTTGAATGTCATCCCAATGCACCTTGGTGACAGACATGTGTTTTGTGGTGTGCTGCCACCATCCAATGCAGGGTGTGCTGCAGTGCTATTTATTATCAATGACACCCCACTACACCAACACTTCTAACGTGTGTTACCGCAGCTCCATAGTGCTAAGTGGCTCTTACTTATGAAGAATATGTATATACATGACAATACATAGTCTGCCTACAAGTTCAACTTAATAGATAGCCAAGGGAGAAGCATCATGTTTGACACGTATCTGAATGCTAGGCAGCTGCTTTTCAATATAGCACAACGTATAAACACTGTTATGAGGCTCAATGTGAAAGTAAAAGTGAAGATTTTAAACAAATATTACCTTTTCTTTTATAAGTTTATTAGGATTTCTTCGGCGACAGCGATTTACTTCAATTGTTCTCCTACTCTTAGGTGCAGCCATCCAGAAGATACTATCCAGCAAACTGGGAACATTGTCAGATCTGTCCTCCTTCTTTGCCTCAATGGGGCTTGTTACTGGAGTCTGAATGGCTAAAGCTACAGGAAAGGTATACACTGTTAATTCAAAAGCATCTGGTCATTTTACATTTACAATACAGTTTACTTTTGAAAGCAGCAACTGCATGCAAAAGGCTAAATACACAAATTAAATAAATATAAAGGCAGCAGATTTACCTACCAAAAGATTTGTTTTTCTGTCCAACCAGTCCTGAGATTTACACAGCTCTGCCACATGTCACAACCCTATTAGGTTGCGCAGAAGACCTATTTGGAGCAGACTAACAAGCTCACCACATAAGGATGTTTCTTGTAAGTACATGAGACAAAAGTACACTTGATTGGCTCTATGTGCAGCTTCCCAATCAGGACAACATTTTAAAGCCTTATTTTTTCTGGACAGTGCAGATCACAAAATGATGGTACAGAGCCAATGACAGTTGCTCTGTACCATGTGATCACCGTGACCAGCCACTGCATGACACACTGTAAACAATAGTTGCAGATAGCAGCTGGCTTCCACTTTCCTCTAACTGACTGGCGAGTGAGAGGAAAGAAAGCTTACTGATCGCAACCAGTAGCGATGCACCGATACCGGGTTTTCGGTATGGAGTACCAATATTTTGCTTTTGGTACTTGCCGATAAAGAGTACCAATACTGTTGCTTCTGCTGGCATGGAGCTGATTTCCTGGCCAAGCAGGAAGCCGGGCAGCGAGTAATGACCTGCCTCCTGATTGGTCGGGAAGCCGACTCCATGCTGATTGGCCTGGAAAGCCACTTTACCGGATTGTAGAAGCGATCTGGTGGCAGCTGAGCCGCCAGAAGCGCTTCTACTGTAAAGCCGGCCACCGGCTTTAGGAAAACCTTCCCTGCACTTCCTGTTTTATTGCTTAGGCAAGAATGACCCATTTGTTCCCCATAAGTTTCTGGGGTACCTGTGTCACTTAACCCAGAAAGCCTCAGGTACTCTGTGATGCCTGCACCCAATCGCTTCATCAGGGTGCCATTTGTATCTTACTGGTTCATGCAGCTGGCCCTCTGATGATGCGATACAGCACCAGCTTGTCATCAGTGAGCTGGCTGCAATAAACCAGAAGTGACAGCATGTCCCCTGATGAGGTCAGAGAGGAACATGGCAGCACAGTACCAGCTGTGCAGAGGTGGATCCCTAGAGAACACCGCTGCATTGCATGACTATGGGTTTATTTTTATGCATAACCCAACATAAAGGGTAAGGGGGATGGAGTTCCTCTTTAACAGACTTCACTGATTGTGGAAAAGCTAATGCCGAGTACCTACAACCACGTAGAAAAGAAAATGTCACCTGGCTGCAGGGGCTGCAGGCCTAGAGCTCGTAGAAGAGTCTCCTCTGTCCGTAGCCAACACCTGAGCAGCATTTTGAAGACACCGCCAGATGGTCCTAAAGGCAGCGCCATCTTTCTAATGACCTCCCTCCTGTCAAAAAAAGTGAGCATGCGCTACAGCAAAATCCAATCACGTGGCTTTTTCCCATCATGGCCACAAAACCCAATCACGGCAACACATTCAAAACACGTGACCTTCTTTCTCTACCGGCAATAAGATCCAATCACAGCCAAAAAAGTAATCACGTGATATTTCCAATCACATCATGGTCTCTGCCAACCAACCATGACAACAGTTCCTACACTGCGCATGCGTTATCGTCGATATCAAATAAAAAAGCCCATATCGCATGGAGACCACTGGAAAACAATGTACGTATCCAATGATTAACATTGTCGGCGGAATGATAGGTTATACAGTGCTTTTTGAACAGCACACGCTGTATCATAGCCAGCACCCACGTCGGAAAGCCCCTTTCCAGAACTGCATTTCCCAAGAGTCAGCGCACGTCCCCCCTCCTGACCGGAAGTGACGTACTGACGAGTGGGGCGCTCGCTGTGCGGTTCACAAAGAGGAGGAGCGGAGTGAAGATGGCGGAACGTGGCTACAGTTTCTCTCTGACCACTTTCAGGTGAGCGGGATGCTGTTACGGGGCCCTGCCGCGTTGTAGCCTTATTTTATCCGCGACCCGTTCCCAGCCCGTTCTCAATGTTTACTTAGCCGCCAGTCCCGTTCACCCTGCTGTGTATACCGCCAACCGGTACTTTGCAGAGTCACTCTGCTGCCCGGCCAATCACGGCGTATGACGGCTGAGCCGCTCTGTCCTAGACACATGGAGCCGCCCGGGTGACAGGATAAGCTACACACAGTGACAGCCTAGACTCGGGGGCCTGCTCGCCATGAAATAATGAATGAATAAGGCCATTCTACAGTGACACCTCCAGGCCTGAAGCTCCTCTCTGAAAGGATGATGGCCTGCTGTGAGCTTTTCTCATATATGGCCTCATCGTTCTTGGTGCATATAAATGCTAAAATCTTTTTTCAGCATGTTTGCCATCGTTTTTCTCTGTAAAAAAGCAAATCATTTTTTGTTGATCTGTTGCAAAGTTCCTTATCTGGGGATCCTGCCAGTGACAGCACTTCCTGTAGCAGGCTGACAATACTATGCCGCTGCTGTACCATTTACTATCATTGTCAGCTTGCCATGTCCTCCTGCTTATCCGCTCTATGTCTGCCATCTGCAGATCCAGTTGGCAGTCCAATGGCCAACATAAGAAAAGCCAGGGCTAGATAAATCCCAAGAGCCAGGTCACCAGTGCTACTTAAAAATTACAACTGGCTCCTAGTTGTCCATGGAGCTGGCTTCTAAAAAGAAAAATCCTGCTTGCTCCCGGATTCCCTATTAGTTTGTCTACTCCTGAGGAGAGCACACTGCAAGCTGACAACACTTTTGTCACCTGCGTGGCAGTGTCTTAGTGTTGTCACCCTGCAACAGGAAGTGTTGTTACTGGCAGGATCTCCAGAAACTTGGCAACAGATTCATAAGAAATTAAGAAAACTGTATACACTGAGGCAAAGATACTGAAAAAAAACAAGATTATGGGTTTACATACACTTTAGTATATCCATATTTTCCATAAGTTGTGCTGTGTGAATGGGAACACGTAACAAATATAAAGTATTGTTATCCCATTTTGGCTGCAAAAGTGGAAATGCATTTTACTTCGGGCAACATTTTTTTTAAACCCTGGCAGTGGGGCTACCCCTGTACAGCAAGGGTTAACTGCTCATTTGGGTCTAGGTGCTGAAAAACGAAAAAAGTTGTATGCACCTAAACCGAGGAGCCGGCTTGTTCTTAGACTGGTCCTTCCACCAGTGGTCTAAGTAAATCATCACGTTCTATCGTTCTAGGCACAGTGTATAGATGTCTGTCTGTCTCCCACCTTGACTGCCTTTAGGCATTCCCTAAAGACTCATCTCTTCAGGGGAGCCTATCCCACCTCAACCTAACCGCTCAACCATCACTTTCTCAAACAATTCATCCCAACACAGCTCACTCCTCATGCATCACTTGCCCCTCCCTTTTAGATTGTAAGCCCTCACAGGCAGGGCCCTCCTTACCATCTTGTCTTGAATTTTATTGTGATTGTAATGTCTACCTTATATTGTAAAGCGCTGCGCAAACTGTTGGCGCTCTATAAATCCTGTATAATAATAATGTGAGGGCACTGAGGAACATTCCAATGCTGCAGCGTAGGAGGAGACAGACTTAAGAGACCGGAGAAGCCGAGAGATGGCTCAGCGGGACGGATGAGTATAATTTTTTTTTTTTAGCACCTAGACAAAAGCAAGCATTTAACCCTTGTCGTGCAGGGATAGCCCTACCGCAAGAGTTAAGAATAATTTTACCCAGAGTTCCTTTTTAAGGTATCTGGATGATGTGCTATCTCTGTAATCCAAGCGACCAATCAGATTCTCCCTTTTTACTTTTAAGCTGTCCAAGAAGCAGTTTGCGGGGGAGAAACAAAATGGACATTATTTACAAGTGAAGACCTTGAAATATATAAAAAGCCAATGTTCAGTTGAGCCATTGATGGCCACCTAAAATATTTGTTTTGGGTGGAGTTGGTAGTAATCAGTAGGGTATGGATGCTTGGCAGCCTGCACACTTTTATTCATAAATACCAGGCTGTGCTCTACTCTTGTTGCATCCACAATCATGAAACCTTGTGTATAAATAGGAAGTGGAATATAGAACATCTTGGTTTACTATTGTGTGAGCACTGAGAGATAAGAGTTCTGTCTATAAGGACAATGGGGGGACATTTTAGGCCTCGTATGTGTTTTCATTGTGTAGGAATGACACAGCTTTTCAGCTTTCACTTTCACTATGTGCAGTAGGGAGGGGCAGGAATACATAACTGTGAAAGAACGCAGGCTCGTGTACTTTATAATACCAGACGTTGTCCTCTGATAACTTTTCAGAGAAATGCTCCGTGTCCACACACTGCTTGTCATTGTACACGCTATTGTGACCATAAAGGATTACATGTCACATTTTGTTAGATCCGGGAAGAATTTAGTTCAGTAAAAGCAAAGTACAGCTGCAAAAATAGAATTGACTTTATTGTGTTTAGTACCAGCTGTGATTTGACATATTAATGACCTTTTTCTGGACATTTACTTTTGTATTGTGTAGAATACATTTGGACCCGTAAACGTGACAGAACGTTCATCTTCATCAATAGAGCATAAGGTTGCAAACCAAATTAAAGTGACACTAAACTCAGGAGTTACATCTTGAAAATACATACAAGCACCCTAACTAGTAACAATAATGTATCTTATTTGTGTATCACTCGGCTGTAGATCCTCAAATCATCTCTGAATTTGTGCTGACACTGTCCTTCCTTCGGGAGGGTGGCTACTTTTTGTTCCCCATGGTCCCTGTGTGTGTTGTAAAGTAGACACCGCTCCAAGCTCACTCCATTTAGTTTACTAAATGGAAATTGTTTTTTCCTGTTCATCTCCATATAGGTTAATAAAGTATAAAACATATGACTGATCTTTAGATTCAGGGTATTGGGGGTCACTGGTGCCTGTAGGCTTGTTATGTATACCAGCCAGTACAATGGGTATTGACACATGATGGTTTTTGCATTTCTTTGTTTATCATGTATGAACAAGCTTAGTCAATTAAAAGAGACTGCCCGCCATATGCTGACAGCACAGAGCTGCTGTTCTATCAGGAACCACCCCGCTACCTGATTGACAGCTGGCTCTGCCTGCCCCCTCCCCTGTCTGCCCCTCCAATGAGCGCTGAAGGAACAGAGAGGGGAGGGGTGATTGACAGTCACCGCTCTCTGCAGGGAGAAGCAGTGAGATGGGCGATAGCTTGAGCTATAGAGCCGACTTCTGACCGATGCAGTGTCGCATTCCAGCTTAAACTATTGGGAATAGTATATTTATACTCTCCCAATAGTTCTCCTGTAAGCTATTTTACCAATGCGGTTATGAATGGTAAAGCTGGACTCTAGGCACATCTAATAGACACAAACGAATGCATCCCTCTTGAATTTTATCTGGCATCAGCCTCTTGCAGTCCATGTACAGCCAGGCATAAGTATGAGAGGAAGAAGCAGCACCAGAAGCCAACCAGTTCATGTGCTGACAAGAAGCATGCTGATAGGAGAAGAAAGCAGGCTGACAGAGGAGCTAATGATTTGTGCTCAGGGGAAGTGGGTTAAATGATGTTGGCCATCAGACTGAAGACATCTAGTGGCAGAAACAAGTACTGCAGGGTGAATACTGCAAGATTCTAGGTGAATATTGCAGAAATATTTAATTTTGTAATTTTATCTTTCATTTATTTAACTCTTGTTGTTTTTGGCTGGAGTCCTGCTTTCATTTTATAAGCCTCAAAATTGTGTTTAAAATAGTGCTAAGTGATCAAAGTTGCAAATCAGACAGATCTGCAGCTTGGGGAATTTCAGACTTTTTTTCTTTCCATATTAATGCACACAGAATCGTCACATTTATGAATTCAATGTTTGGGTTCCTGAATTTTTCACTCATGTCTTAGATCTGTAATGAGATATTCAGGTCAAACAAAATGGACTTTTCATGTATACTCCCAATTCCGTTTGTCGTGTGTGTTCACTCGAAGCTGAACTATACTCGCCTCAACCCCCTGGGATGTGCTGTCCGCAAGCTTCTTTTGCTTGCCGCTGATCTCTGGATCTCTGTGCCTGGTCTTCCAGCTACCAGATCTTGAGCCGCCTTAATTGGCTGCACCGGCATGATGCTACTTCCCCGCATGTGCTGGAGTTCATTCATCTCGGTGGATACTGAGCTTGTACTCTGAGCTGCGCGTCGTCCCTCACTTGTGATCGTGCTCCGCGAACATGCTTCCTTTCCAAATCAGCAAGTTGTCACGGCAGAGAAAACTGTGTGAAGTAAAGACTTGACTGTAGCAATCTTTGTGGTGGCTTGCAATACATTGTATTACATTGTTGTACCTGAAATATGTATTTCTAATTCGAATTTATTATTTTTGTTTCTTCTAGTCCATCAGGAAAACTTGTACAGATTGAATACGCTTTAGCTGCGGTAGCT